TGTCGTGAGTAACCTGTTGAAGAGCGATTATCAGTATTGCGTCGCCAAACAGGTTCATAACGAAATCTTCCTTTTTGGATTCGACAGAAACCTTATTGATAAAGCAGCCAAGTATGTATCGGGAAATATTTCTCATAGAGATTTCTTGCTTTTTGGTAGTCAAAGAGAAAAGAAAGACGCTTTTGTTGATCATTTCCAGCAAGTATATCAAGATAGAATAGTTGTTTATATTGATGAGGCCTGTCGTCTTAACTTGCTAGGTCAGAAAGACGCCGTTGATGAAGCATGTTGTGAGTTTAATGATATCAGCGAGGGAAGGAAGCCAATTTCGCCGACGAGTATGCATTCACAAGGAAAATCAAAAGTTACGAAAAAGTTTGGTCCGCTTGAACCAGTGCATTTTAAATATTTCTGTAAGTCAGTTCAGCTCGAAAAGGTCGTGAACCGTGATAAAGTGAAAGTAATTAAAGATGAATCAGAGTGTTCATTTTTTATTCAAGGAGAGAAAGAAAATGTTTTACGTGCTGTTAAATATTTAAACGAGACCGTACCTTCTATCCGTACAAAAGAAATAAAGGTTCCTTCTACTGGACCAACATGCATCATCAGATCATCTGAAGATAAAAGCGACTTTGAGAAGTGCTGGCAAAAGTTTTCTGTATTACTTGAAAAGAAAACATCATATGTTTGTGAAAGGTTACATGTTACTAACAGGCTTCACGGCAATTGCAGCAGTATTTGGTTATCCTCAAGAGGCAAACAACTTACTGTCAAATTTTCAGCGTTCGATGATTTATGTGTAGACAAAATGTTTATGATGAGCAAGAAGGATCAATCTAAAGGTATTGTTGACTTTTTAGCTATAAGATAATGGTATTTTAGTGCTAATGAAGTTCTTGAAAAGGAAAGATTACAGCTATATTAATAGAGGTGTTAGATTTATTATGAAACACAATCATAACACGTTAAAAGATTTTATAGCTTACAAAAACTCGTGCAATGCGATTAATTCATTAAAAGCATTGTTTCATACATATGCCAAAAAGCCAAGATGCGGCTCCCATGGTCTTGATTATACTGAATCGTAGGCAACGGAATCGCTAGATTTATACCATGTCCGGTCTTAAAAAGGCTCTCAAAGACGAATGGAGCAAACGCAAACTTGAGCAGTCATGCATAAACTGACCATTAGAAAGCTGATCAAAAAGATATAGAATGATTTACTATTGCAAGGATATCAGATTGAGCATCTGTTGCAATAACAATTAGGCAGATTTTTAAACTGTGTCTTAATGAATTGAACACGTTTCGAATATCTTGTATAATTTTTTCCTAACTGGTACTGCTTCTAGTATTTTGTAGTAAATATATTGATATCATCGCGAGATTAAAGTGAACGAACAAAAAAACCATGCATTTTTTCCGCGATAAATTGTTAAGCTTTTCTGTTTAAAGTACTCATTGATTTTCATTTTGATTTTCATTAACCAGTCAATTGCATACTGCTAATATAAGGCCAATGCCTACAATATATCAATTTTGATTAACTTTCGGTATGTTTAAATTTAGTTTGTGTCTATGAAATAATTATTCTGACCATTATAACGCAATATATGATAGGGTAATTTAAACATGTTCTACTTGTTATAAGATCGAGCCCGCCTAGGTCCATGTATTTTCGTTTTTAAATTTTCAATATTATTGAAGCTATGATTGTTTTATGTTGTTGTTTTTATATGTTTTGCACTTATTTTGGTAAAGTCTTCATCTTTTAAAATAACATGGTTTAAAAATTTATATATAAATTTAATTTGATTAAAATCAATAAATATAATTTCAATCCGGAAAAATACAATACGAAACGATTTAAAGTTACCTCACATCCTTGTCTACATTTTTGCTTACACCTGCCATTTCCAGGAAACTGTATTGCAAAAATAAAGAAAGAGAAAAAAACAATGGCAACAGCAGGGCTAGAAGCACAGATTCGATTTATTTTCAATAACAGCTTATATTTAAGAATTTTTGACATAAATTATAAGTCTATGTACTAGGATTGACAAATAAACATTTTTATTTGGATTTTAAGGCGTTTTGAGCTCCACAGCTCCAAGTATCTGTGGCTAGAAACATAATTGACTGTGCTATTGAGACTGCAATAACGACTTGTACATGAAGCTATTGTGATTTTTCAAAACTTGAGCTTATTCAATATTATTTATCGTAAATTTAAATGAGTGCTATAATGTATTCATAATTGACAGGCACTTAAAAGCAGACTATAATGTGATTAATGGAATAAAGAGGAACAATACAATCACCACTTGTATGTCTTATGTATTTAAAAATTTATTACGTGACGTTTTTTATATGCCCGAAAGAATTTCGGGCATATTATGTTATACCCCCAGGCGTCCGTTCGTTAGCAATTGGTTTCCGGAGCATAACTTAAGTTTCATTTGGCCCATAATATTCAAACTTCATAGGATGATTGTCCATATTGGGTAAAAGACCTCTAGTGATTTTGGGGTTACATTGTCAAAGGTCAAGGTCACTATTACCTTAAAAATGAAAACAGTTTTCGGTGCATTACTTAAGTTCCATTTGGCGCACAGTGTTCAAACTTTATAATATGAGTGTCCATATTGGGTAGAAGACCCCTATTGATTTTGGGGACACAAGGTCAAAGGTCAAGGTCACTATTACTTTAAAACTGAAAACAGTTTCCAGAGCATAAATCAAGTTCCATTTGGACTACAGTATTCAAACTTCATCGGAGGATTGTTACTTTATGTAATTCCCATGTCTAACAAATGCTTCATCTTTACTTAAAAAATCTTCGGGCATATAATGCTCCGCCTAGCGGTACTCTTCTTAAACACTGCACAGAAAATCGATTATTTCGCTAATAATGTTCTTTTCTTTATATTTAAGTAATACACAAATAAACGTAAAAACATGATTTCGTATTACTTTTTACACTCTTTTCATATCAATATCTTTATTTCTTTCTTCAGTTTATCTGTCTTAAATAAATGTTATTTAATTGTACATATGCTTGTATAGGTTACACCTTTAAAGTTATAAGAGATGACCTTGTCGAAATCGCTGTCCCGGAAAAGGTTAGCCGAGGACAAAATGATGACAACACTATAGGCTACATTATAAACACCATCTCGGGAAAGTTGCTTCTAGCAGCGAAAAGGTTGTTGCATTCCTAATATCCTCGTTTGCAAACTGGGATTTCAACAGTATCATGAGATGTATGGTAAACAGTTTCGTTGAATGGCTGATGGCACCAGGAACAGCTGAAGGGTTTTCAGTGATACTTTGCATAGCAAAGCACTCAGATTTTGTGGAAACAGATGAATATTTTGGATCTCGTTTATGGACCAGAATGAAAGGCAAGTAAATTCATAGTTATCTTTTTGTAAAGAAAGTGTACAATGAACATATACTGAATATACTGTGAATTAGTTTACCAGTACTAGATGCTTTCATTTTTGCAAGGAACTGATTACTTCTGTTCATGCATGAGCAATGGTGCAGTGTGTGAATGACCGTAAAGGGGATTTCATAAGTTCAAACACAAAGAAAGTGACCTTCACCGTCCGGGAATTGAACCCGAGTCGCCCGATTCACAGTCCAACGCACTACTGATTGAGCTAACAGGACGCTCTGCGTTACTAACAGTTTGTTAACAAAACGATGATATGAACTCACATTCTCCAAGGAAACGACTACGACGTAACTATTTTATTTTATTGTGTTAACAAATAGTAAATTGGATTTTCTTCTAACTTGTCTAACAATAGTCATTACTTGCTTTTACAGACTTTAATCGTGATGTTGGCCAACCAGAAATTAAAATTGTAAAAGGATATTTGGAAAATGCTGTTGTAAGACACTTTATTATTCCTAAATCTTCATTTAAGGTAGATTTAAATGTTATTTTTGCAATCAGGTTTACAATTTAAAATTCTGCATTAATATTTAGTATATTTGTTTCGAAACGTTAGGAGTAAACATAACACTTGTTTGAGTCACAAAATAGAAGGGTTTTATTTAGTGCTTTTCATGTCTGTAGACATACACTAATAGATATGATTGTCTGCTCTTATTGTGTATATTTTAATGTAAATACGTATATAATTGAAACGGAGAGAGTTGGACATATCTCTATTGAAATCCTCTTTGAATATTTTTACGTTAATATGTTTGTTCATTTTCATATATTTTGAACAATTGTTACATTCCATCAAAAACTTTTCTACCTCTGTAATTGATAGTTATTGCAATTTGCAATAATTTAAATTGTACTCTTATGTCAATATATTAACAAACATAGTTTAATTTGCGATAATTTGGCATCTTACACAGGCTGATGTAATAGTGAATACTGTTTCTCCAGGTTTGGAGCTTCGTTTTGGTAAAGTATCTTCAGCACTACTTGCAGCTGCAGGTCATAAACTTCAGGAAGAATGCAAAAAGGAGTTCCCTCATGGAATAAAGCCTGATATAATTGCTGTAACGGGTGGCTACGCACTAAAATGTAAGGCCGTTTTTCACATCACTCTTCAAAGAGAACGAACATCGGAATGCTATATTATAGTATGTAAACAAGTTAAGATTTTTGTTGATTTGTTTTTATGATTCTATGTCGTTTTGACAAGTATCTAGAGCCGTGCTTATTTGTCGGTAAAGAAACATATACAGTGTCACTATAAAATGATATGCAATTGACACTTTATTCAAAATCTATGAGACTATGCTTAAAAGTTAAAACGTAAACAAACAACCTTTTATTGCATGAGGTTATGAAGGTTGAAGGCATCTATATTAGGTAGGAAACCGATAGTATTGCGTAAAATATAACATATATTCTACTTTTAAGGCGTGGATTCAATTTGAGGTTTAATTTTCAGGATATACGGAATGCAGTGATGCTTTGTTTAAGAACGGCATCTGGATACTGCTATAAATCAATAGCTTTTCCAGCAATGGGTACAGGTTCGCTTAAATATTCAATTAAAGAAGTGGCCTCTGAAATGGTAATGGCAATAGAAAGATTTACAAAGGAATATGAGGACAAAGGAATAGGAGCAGTTCCAATAAAAGAAGTACAGATCGTGATGCACCCGAAAGATTTAATTTTATTTGAGGTAAAAGTTAATTTTGTTTACGTAATGCTCAAAAAGTCGCCACTGTTATTAATGAAAAATATAACATGCACGATTTTATCATTAAATCGAATAATATTTTTTTTGTTTCATTTCCTTAATTGTATTTTGAAATAATAATTTTGATATATTTCGGCAAAGTAATGCAACTTTTTTTTCATACAGCTGTACTGTGCTTTGAAATAAGATTTGTTATTCTGTCAAATTATCTTTCAATTGTTACACTTGTTTTGCTTTATAGCTGCAGTAACATCCATAATAAGTTCGTAATTGTAAAAAGCTACATATTTGCTGTAAAAGAATACTTTTAAAATGTCTGTATGTTAGAACTATGATAGTTTATTTTCTTTAGAGCTAATGTATCATGCACAAAATCATTGATTTAACTGTTGAGCATTATTCTAGTTCTAGAAGATGTTATTTGTTTACGTACAATGTCCATATGTCTGAAATAACAGAGACATTTTATGTTACAATTCATTCGACAATCAACCAAAACATTATGAAAACAATATAATTTTACTTTTAATTAACGTTAATACCATCTAACTTCAGACCTTCCAGAGAATTATTGAAAAGCTAGGTAAATATATCCTTTTATTAGAATGTATGATGTTTGATCACACTTTTAATCCGTAACCACAGTTAATATTGTTACAAATAACTGTTCTTTTTCTAAGTCTAGTGTTATTTGGATAGCTCTTTTGTCACTAAGTATCTATAATCAACATTTTTTTTTACTATGAGGTACATAGCAATATGAACTTTTTAGTACGGCGCGTTTCTTCATTATACGAGTACAAGCATAACGCATAGTGTTGCGTCTAATAAGCAAAACGTCGAAATGACTTTTATTTAGGAAATAGATATCAATTCTGAGTGCATTGTTGTAGAATAATGCACGGTTTTAGTTCAAATGCGTAGTAATATAATCACGAAGGCCGATAGGCCTGAGTGATTAATTACAAAGCATTTGAACGAAAAACGTGCATTATTATACAATAATGCACGAAGAATTGATATCTATTTCCATTCTAATACGTCAAGAAAAAATATAATTTTTATTATAACGTTGGACTTTATGTTTGGTGGTTGAATTTGTTTTCGCCTCAGAGTTTCCAATAGAAACGTTCTTTAGAGGCCGTTCCAGTGGGTTGAAAAAAAACTGTTAAATCTACCGTTTGTAGAAACATTTTGAAAATAACGAATTTTGAAAACGTTGATACAACTTTGTTTGTTTATTTATTTCAGTTTATAATTTTCCAAGCGAAATACAAATTATTAAAAGTGAAATAAATGTAAAACTAAACTCGTTTGCGACATTAAATAGCGAACTTGATTTGATTGTTTTGCACGTGCTGTTTGGCGCTATATTGTGACGTCACGTAAACAACACTTTAAACGTCTGTACAGCGTTAACGACTGAATTAAAGATATTGGTGTTCGGATTAATTTTCTTAGTTAGACCATTTTCTTTCATTCTAGATAGTTTTCACAACAAAATTCGAAAAAAATTGTTTTAATTTATCAGATTTTTTAAACAAAATGGCGCCTTCAATGTGAAAATACACAGGGAGATAATAAGAACGGCGAGTGCATTGTTGTAGAATAATGCACGCTTCCGGCCTTCTTTGTCTATATAGAAAAAATTCCGATAGTGTTAGAATAAACATTGAACGTGAACGTTGCTTTGTTGAAAACGGCATACGGCACTTTCTGTCTTACCTGGAGAAATTTTTGCTATGTTGCTAATACTTTTGCGTTTTTTTTTTTGTCTTTATGTATCTTTTTATTATTGATAAGAGAGCTTAAAAAATATTTAATGTCACCAAGATTTATAGACATTACAACTTAAATGACGTATATGTAGGAAAATATAGGCGGTGGATTATTAAGACGTTTTCTAAGAGCGGCGATTCCTGTCTTACCTAGGAAAATGCATATTAGATTAAAGAAATGGCTCAGAACCGAAATACTTTTGTAATGATTTGAATTTGTACTACATTGCAAATACATATAAACGATAAATATTATGAAATCATTTATATTTTAATATTTTTTCATAACTTTCTTGACGTTTTAAATGTTTGTGTAACTAAAGTCTAAAAATTAAATTTGTTGATCTTTTCTATACAAGTAATATATTTTACAACCCGCAGATCGATGAGATATTATATTATATTATTATATAATATTTTATAGATATTATATTATTCAGATTGTTGTGTTTTTAAAATCAAGACTTTGTTCACAGTAACACCAGCTACAGAAGTCAGTGTTATTTTTGAAATAACCAGAAATGAAAAGAATGTTGATAGATGTCAATCATGGCTCAGATCTGAAGGTAGACTTACTCCGAATAGTAAGCTGGCACAGTTACCCCATGAGCAAGAGTGTGTACATTCAACTCTCTGTCAAAGGCCCGACAAAGATACTAGCCGCTTAACATCTAAACAATGGCAAGATACCGCTCTTTCCAAAAGAAGCCACTGGCCAGGGGGTGAATTTTTTTCAAATGCTCATAAGCGAGATACTGATAATCCGTTAACCAATTCAAGGCTATATAGTGCTCATTCAGCCACCAGCTTTTGGCCAGGCGTTGCATATTCCAGCACAAATGAAATGTCAAGCGATGCATATTACGCCACAGATCACAAGCCAAGTGATACAAGTTCCATCACAGATAAAAAAGACCGTACTGCATATTCCGTAACAAACCAAAGGCCAGGTGTTGCATATTCCGCCACGGATCACAGACCATGCGTTGCGTTTTTAACCACAGATTACAGGCCAGGCGCTGCCACAGATCACAAGCCAAGTGCTACATGTTCAACCACAGATGAAAGACCAGGTATTGCATATTCCGCCACGGATCACAGGCCAGGAATTGTGCATTCCGCCACAGATCACAGGGCAATTGTTACATGTTCCACCACGGACGAAATACCGGGTGTGTTATATTCCGCTAAAGATCAAAGACCAAGTGTTGCATATTCCGTCATCGATCACAAGCATGATATTGCAAAACTAGGCACTTCGAAGTTGATTGACCAGGAAACAACTGGATATGTTGCTGAAGTTGTCAAGGTAAACAAAGTAAAAAATACCGCTAGGGATCGCCCCAAATCTGCAGGTCTGCAACGTGCAAGTGTACCTACATTTTTTGAATTCTCATATGCATATGAAATATATAAAATGCTCGTGTGTAAATTTGGTATAGAGGGTGAAATAAATGTTCAAGTTTATTGTGGTGATATAATAAATTTGCAGAATATCCAAGCTGTTGTATGTAGCGAAAATATAGCAGGAAATGCTAAAGGTATCGTAGCGAAGTTATTGTTGAAAAATGGAGGTGAAGAATACCTGCAGGATAAGGCAACTAAGTTTAGTCATATGCCAGCAGTTGGTGATATTGTCACAACCTCTGGAGGAAGAAACAGCTATATGTGGATTATACATGCAATTATGCCGCGGAAAGAACCAAGCGCAATACGTAAGATGTACTCAAAAATATTTGAAGAAGTTGCAGAAAGAAGATTTACATCTGTATCCTTGCCCTTATTAGGAACAGGTAAATGCTACTTATAAATATTGCTCGATATCAAAATTACTTCTTTTATTGTGTATTCTTATTTAATTAATTGAAACGAAAGAATTATTCAAACGCGTAAAGTTATTATTCGTGAAAAAGATAAGCCAAACAAGAAATAACAAAAGTAATGCAATAGTTCTATTGTAACACACGAATTACACGTGTCTTTTTTTCTCGAAATTAATAAAAACAAAGATGCAGAGACTACGACAATGTTAGCATATACAAGACTACTAGTACATGAATTTTTTTATGATACAGGTGTAGGCGATGTAGATCCAAGGACATGTACAGAAATGCTTTTGAATGAACTGATACAATTTTGCCAAACACAAAGATGGCAAAAACTTTCGCTACATATAGTTTCCAATGACGAGCTAGTTTGTGATATTGTCAAAGATGTGTTTACTAAGACTATTGACGAGATGAATACCATAGAAAAGCCCACCAAACACGAGGACGATTTTGTGTTAAACAACATAACGGACGAATCATCTGATGATGGGGAGATCTAACGTGAACCACGAGACCAGGTACAGTTTCAACTTTAGATATTCATTAACACTTCCATTGCTTCATACGGTAGGTGATATGATCATCTCTTAAGAACGCTAACATTCCGATATAAAAGAATATTAACACTATCTGATTTGTAATGGACTAGTATATTATAAGACATTATATAAAGCTGCATATTGTGAAACAGATTTACAGAATAAATATAAGCTGTAGCATGTTATTAACTAGAAATCTGATATGCATATTTTTTGAGTTTTGATCAATGTCCAAGATCATTTAAATTGTGGTATTCAAATTGAATTGCTATCCAGATGTGACGTGTTTGTTAAAAGAGACCCTAAACTCATGTCTAGATGGCAATGATTTGTTAAAAATACTCAACATGTGATTCAAAAGTTGTTTCACAATATTCTATTTATGAATTAACATAACTCTTATTAGTGATTACATTCTATAATTGTATATGTAATTTCACATGATTACAGGCGTTGAAATATTTTTTAAAGATATCTTAGATAAAATCCAATCGCTATTTAGTAAGACTATCGTTTTATCAACAGCTTTATCGAAATTTTACTAACAATTTACTTAAAGAGCATGTAACGCAATCTTTTTTTATGGTTTTATATAAAAAATATGATGCTCAAAGGAAGATTTATCAATATTGTAAGTTTAAAAAAGCATTATTTGTAAAAAAATTACCGAAATTACATTTCATGTAAATAAAGATTTATTTTCAATAAAGTCACATTTTCAGTACATATTTAGCATATTATTGGATGTTTGAAATTGTTTTAGAAGAAGAATTATATACATATATTATGTATTGTTACATCCTTAATTACAACATTCAGGAACTTTAAACATTATTTAAAATATTTGATGTAAGATACAAAATAATAAACCAATATTCCATTAAAGCTTTTTATTCATCTTTACCTAATAGGTGTTTTCCATCTATACCCTAATTTTCAGGTTTGGTAATCCGGGCATAACTTCTTTTCAGAGCGTAGCTGAGGAATTTGAAGAAAACAAACATTCAATATAGAAACTATTGAAACGACATCTTTAAGGATAAAAAAAACAATGTTTATAATGTGACAGGCGCACACATCTTTAGCGCAAACTTCCATGATTCAATTTATAACAAGAAATATCTTAAGAAAAAGATATTCGACAGAATTGTCCTGGTTAACTTGTATATTGTGTTATTTATCATTTTTAGATACATATTTATTTGACAGAATAAACAATGAGGTTATTTATATTGAGAAATGGAACACTGTGAGATGTATGTGTTCCTTAATGAATATGTCTTGTTTCGATAAGTGAACTCAGTTTCTAACACCAACATCTACGCAGTCGGTAGGCAATTATATTTATAAATACTCTATTAATATGCAAAAATAGATATAAATTATGAAAATTGTATCAATTGAACAGATCAATGATCATATAATTTATTGGTCATTTATTTGAGGGAGCCTGACAATCGCAACTACTCGGCCCTTTCCGTCAGTCTTCGGATAAGGACCTCGAACACAATAGTATGAATACAAAGAACGGATGCGGTATTTCGGTCTAACCTACGCTAAGAAACTAAACATGTAAACAAGCAATATATGTAGTAAAGTCCACCTAAACTAAGTAAATTCATATTTCGGATTTGTTTAAAATTGAACATCAGTGGGCATACTTAAATTACAAATTGTTGTCAGGCATGTTTTTAAGCATAAGAGTACCGGGACACACATTAGATGTCAAATATATACATACATTCATTTTACATTATCTTTGTTTCTGTTTACATCTGAAACCACGTGGTAGAACTATTTATCATCAGTATTGTTTTTCGAGGTTTTTATAAGATAATAGCCGAGGCAGTTCCGAATGGGAGCCTGATAGGTATTTTTTCTAAGTATTTTCATGCCGCACGCGCGTGAAATGTTATTGTTGGTTTTGTTATTTTGGAACCAAAATTTATAACTTCTTGTAAAATTAAACAGAAGGTTAATAACGTAAAAAAGAAAACTGTTCAATAGAAAACAGAACTTAATATATCACAGGAATCAAACTAGAAAGGTAAAGAAACTATCATGTATATTTCATTTTAGAACTATCCTTGTCATTTTACTTCCTTTTTGCAAGAACTATCCTTTACACTTTATTTTAGAAAATATCTTAAAAAATTTTGTTACTACCCTTTACATTTTATCTTAGAATAACAAGATTCTCAGATTTTGTTTTTAATTTTTAAAAAAGACCAATGAATTCTCTTTTATTCAGTTTTTATCTGTAATTTTGGAAAAAAGTCAAACTGATTTTTTGATGGCTTCTAACATAAAGAAAGAAAGAAAAAAAAGAAAGAAAATGAAAAATTTAAAAACCAAAAATTTTTTTTTAACAAGATTTAGACATTTCTTACTTATATCCTCTTAATATATATTTATATTTTTTAAAAATTTGAGAGTTTTTTCCCCTTTTATTAGTTTAACTATGAAAGTTTTAAAGAGCATAAATATTTTCCTTGATCATTTTGAAAATTTTATTATACGTACCCCGCTAACCAAATTTTAATTGGGGTACATGGTTTGAGGTTGTCCATCAGTTTGACAGGCCTGTATATGCTTTTTTCCAAGTCCGCTCTACCAGTTTAAATAAAATGTCATGGAGACAGTCAGTGTTTTTTTTTTTTAAGAATTCAAATTGTATTAATTTATTACATTTAAAAACAATGGAGGATTTAGATTTGTTTTTCTCACATTTACGTTGGTGAGGTATCTATAGCTGTTAAATTTTCATTAATGGTTGTAAACATTTATTTAGTATATTCCATAAAGTGAATATTATATTCCTTTTTTATCAGTATCTTTGTTTTCTTTTTTTTTTTAACTATAAGTAATTGTGAACATTTATATTAGTTAATTATCAGATTTAAAATGTGTTTTATCTCTGTTTATAACTATGAGGATGTATATAAGTATTATTCAAGAGTTATATTAGTTTTCCACCATTACACTTGGTGATGATTAAAATTTTTTT